TTTAGGCAACTCCGAAATTCTGAATACAGCCACTTTTAATAAAACAAATTAAAACCCACGTCAGAGAATTAATTCATTGCTATCAATTCATACATTTCAATGACTAACAGCAATGACTCAAACTGCTTAGCAGCAAGAGTAATAAGTACATTTAACCAGGGGTACCCACACAATTAGAGAGTCACCTGACAACAAAGCAATGCGTGATTCTAAAAAGGAATTGTAAATTAATATAGAAATTTCCCCCATGGCAATATAAAACTGAATTTTTGGAAACTTAACACTTGTTTCTACATGGAATTATGTAATTCTACACATTTTTTAAAAGTCATGCCAAACATGGGGCTTGAACTCATGACCTTAAGACCAAGGGTCACATGCTCTACCAACCAGCTGAGCCAGACAGGCACCCTATAACTCTACACATTTAAATTACCCAAAGCAGGCGCACCTGGGTGGCTCAATTGGTTAAGCGACTGCCTTTAGCTCCGGTCATGATCTCAGGGTCCTGGGATCAAGCCCCGCATCAGGCTCCCTGCTTTGCGGGAAGCCTGCTTCTCCCTTTCCCACTCCCCCTGCTTGTGTTCCCTTTCTCGCTGTCTCTGTCAAATAAATAAAATCTTTAAAAAAAAAAAAAAATTACCCAAGTAGGCAGTAAATCACACTACTTCCAATTTTGTGGCAAAATTATGTTTATGAGTAAGAAGTTTTAATATTATTACATTTTCACCCAATGGTTTTTATTATGTTATATTAATCACCATACATTACATCATTAGTTTTTGATGTAGTGTTCCATGATTCATTGTATTTTAATGTATTCTATTCCCTTCCCTTTAAACACGGATTGACTTTAATAACATATCAAATAACAGAAACTGATTTATGAATAGAAAAGTGACAAGCTAAACTCCAAAGCTTATGCTTAAACAAGATTCAACATCTTTTATTTACAATTTTTGACATACATTAACGGTCTTATACAATTAACTAAATCTAATAACAATGGTGAAGATGGAACATAAAAGACACAATTCCAGATTTTAGTCAGGTTGAAATACATTTTCACTAACTGAAAAGTACGATAAACAAGCAGCCATTATAAAGTTATAGACTGTATGTCAATTCACTTAAAACTGAAAGTCAGCCACACAGCTATAGAAACAATGGGAAATTTGCAAATGCAAATATTACATATGCAGATAATGCATGCATGGCATCACATTTAGTCTTTATTTTTAAGCCATTTTTTAAAGTAAACTGGAAAAAGCATCTTAATATATGTACATCAAGGCACATTCTTTTCTTGTGCTTTAGGAATGATTTACATGTGATTTGCTTATATCTTCATTTTATACCTTATATTAGCTTCTAATACTTAAAAAGTTTAATTTTAACAATTATAGTTTGAGTGGTAGTTTCCCCACAGGAGAGAAATGTGGCGTCTCCCCACAGTTATTTTGAAGATCAGAAAACTGGATAGCTTCTAGAAGTGGGAATTTAAAAATCAAACACACAAATTAATATAATTCTCAGGTAACTTTTAAAAATAATTTACTTTCAACAATTTGGTGGACCATAATCAATTAACTTCTTTAAATAGTATACTGAGGGCTGAACTGAAGACTTTTCAGTATTCTGAAGTTAGTTGACAATTACATGGTATCCACAGGACCGCTGTAGAGGTCTATATTGCTATCCTATTTCTAAATTGCAGTTTTTCAACAAAATTGAACAATTAAACATGATACAAAAGCTGCAAACATACCAAATCTAGTTTTAATTTGTTCATTCTTCAGCAAAAGAATGAGATTTTTTTTCATTCATTGTCTCATGTTATCAAGGAGAAATTTCCCATCAACAGTGTTTAACAGTGTTCTTTGCTCATGGTCAATTTACTTGCCTTGAAGAGATAGTATATAGTAAGGCTTTAATAGGCATTTCATGCATTTTAATGGCATTTAAAAAATCAGCTATTTATTTAAGGGTTCCCCATATAGATAAGTATACTGTGCAAACTTGATTACAACATGTAACTCATTAAGTGCTTTAAAACAGAATAAATCCCTGACTTATAAGGGGTTAAAATAAATAGTTAAGTCAAGAATCACAGATTTGAAGCATTTTAAAAATGTAATACACGTATACATCCTACTAAAATGCTTTATATTAGAATTTTTTTAAACCTATAAACCGGGCAAATGAAATCACAGAACCTATTTTTAGAATAAAAGAGAAGATCTGACTAGTGCAGCCTTTAAACTCAAAGTATATAATAATGTCAAAATGCAAGTGAAACTATACAGTTTTTAATTTAGTCCAGTCCTTTATAAACATTAATTCATAAAAAGTACACCATGATAAACCAATGCCATCAAGTAGATTTGTTTTCAATTTCTTTGCCATATATGGACTTTTCAATAGAACCCATTAGCCAGAAAACCATTCGGAAATGTTCAGACATCACCAAACAGCCCAGAGCCTTGACCTACAAACACTAGGCAGATAGTCACATCGTCCTGTAAACAGATGTTCTGTGAGTTCAGTATACGTTGGATGTCACTTCTTTGATCCCCACTGCTATAGTCACTCTGCTTCTGAAATGTGTGCCACCTCTACTTCTACAGTTTGAATAGCTTCTGCCACTTCCGAGAGCTTCTGTCCTTGCTGTTGTGCCAACACGTAATTAACCACTTGCATAATGCTTTGGTCAGAGAGCGTAGATACTGATGGACACTCTTCCGTAGCCGCAACAGCTTCAAGCGCTTCCATGGTCTCTCCCGTCACCACCACCGTCTCCAGTTCTTGAGGACCACTGCTTTCTTGTTCCTGCATGTCTGCTGTTAAGATACTAACAGCATGCTCCACTTGAGTTCCTTGGTTATGAAACTGAAGGGTATCTTTTTCCAGCATAATTTTGCAAGGCACATAATCTCTGTGGAATTTAGTCATATGTTTACGCAATGTTCGAGCATCTATGTAGGCTTCGCTACATACAGGGCAGACATACGGTCGCTCGCCAGTATGTGTTCTGACATGGCGTTTTAGAGATCGGGCATCAGCCCAAGCTACTCCACAGGTTAAGCATTCAAATGGCTTAACTCCTATGAAAAAAGAAAGAGACACAGAGAGAGAGAGATGTGTGTGTAAGGTACAAGCAACAAAATATATTAAAGTTCCCTGATAAATAATGCTTTTCTTTAAGGAGAGTAACCCAGGGATGCCTGGGTGGCTCAGTCGGTTGAGTATCTGCCTTCAGCTCGGGTCATGATCCCAGGGTCCTGGGATCGAGTCCCACATCGGGCTCCCTGCTCGGCGGGGAGCCTGCTTCTCCCTCTACCTCTGTTCCTTCTCCCTGCTCATGCCCTCTCTCTCTCTGACAAGTAAATAAATAAAATATTAAAAAAATAATAATAAGTACAGTAACCCATTACCCTTTCTATACAGGCTATGGCCATCTTTTATCCAGGACCTAACAGTGTACCTTAGAATAAACTAGATTCTGCAATATAATCTCTCTACAGGTGTTCCCAGAGATAGAAGTTACTGAGAGACAATTTTGAGTTTCCATACATAGTCTCATTTAACCTTCCCTGCAATCCTATAACCTTGGATAAAGTAACAGAAGCTTCCAATAGTCCAGTTCAGCATAAAAATGTTGACCCAGAATATTAAGCTCACTAAAAAACGAACCTATCTACATACACAATAACTAGGTACCCAGGTTCAGGATCACCTCAATCACTTGAATAAATATTAAGTAATACTGGATTCAACTTTTATCAAAGGAAGATGAGGTTAACAGGCAAGAAGGCTGGTAAAGGGAGACTCACTATTGGACTGACTTTTTATTCTACTTAAATATATGCATAATATTAGGTACCGTTACCTTCATGGTTGTTCATGTGTCTCCTATACTCTCTTAGCTGAGTGAATTTTCTTCCACATTGTTCACACACCCGTTCTAGGTTCTGCTTTGCTCTTCCTTTTTTTCCATGGGTAGCTTTCTTTACATGCCTTCTGAACAATGCTTTCTCATAAAATTCTTTGCCACATATATTACACCTATAACGGGGGTACAAAAAAACCCTAAATTATTTTTTCCAAAGCACCAGCATCCAAAAGAATTAATCCAAGCACATATACATCTCCATTAAGTTCAGATCCTGTTCAAATTTATCTACCTGTAAGGCTCAGTGACAGAATGAGATTTCACATGGGAATACCAATCTTTCTTCCAACTATAGCACTTATCACAAAACTGGCACTGGAATGGCTTCACACCAAGATGTTTGTTCATGTGCTGACGAAGATCTCTAGCTTCAAAGAAACTTTTTTCACATCTGCAATAATAAAGTTTAACCACTCAATCAGATCACTTTATTATTCTTTTAAAACAAATTTCCAAGACTCAGTAATACTCATGGCTTTCTAGAACTCTAAAAAATGATCCCAATTTAAAACAAAAGAATTTAGCCACCTGGGTGGCTCAGTCGGTTAAGTGTCTGCCTTCGGCTCAGGTCATGATCCCAGGGTCCTGGGATCAAGTCCCGCATCAGGCTCCCTGCTCGCTGGGGAGCCTGTTTCTCCCTCTCCCTCTGCCACTCCCCCTGTTTGTGCTTGCTCTCTCTCTCTCTGTCAAATAAATAAAATCTTTAAATAAATACATAATTTATTTATAAATTAAAAAAACACAAGAGTTTGCTACTATTCCAGTCTTGCAATAGGGCTTCAGGGTTTTAAGTTCTTTTAGCTCTGGAGTACTGGAAACATTTTAAGTTTTTATTTAAATTCCAGTTAGTTAACATACAATTTCAGGTGTACAATATAGTGACTCAGCACTTCCATACAACACCTGGTGCTCACAAGTGCCCTCCTCAATCCCCATCCCTTATTTACCCCATCCCCCACCCCCCTCCCCTCTGGTAACCATCAGTTTGTTCTCTATAGTTCAGAGTCTGTTTCTTGGTTTGCCTCCCTCTCTCTTTTTTCCCTTTGCTTGTTTGTTTTGTTTCTAGTACTAGAAATATTTTAGAAAGAACCATGCAGAGCTCTGAAAGGCTATTATGTGAGACACTGGTTTTCTGTCTCCCCCTAAACCCCAACTGATGCCCCCTTTTACCCTCTCCCTTTCTCTGTCCATGTACTTGGAGTAGGCCTCACTGTTGACCACAGGATGGAGCAACTGCCACAGGCCTAAGTCAATCAGAGTACAGCGTTCCCTTGGCTGTAATTACTGATCATAATCAAATGACTTAACCAGATCCGATCTCAGATCTCAGAACCTATACAGGAATTGCCAGAAAAGCAGCTTGATGATTTGGGAGTTGAGAGGATGCGAGGCTGAAACCATTGCTACTGCCTTGTCTAGAGAGCCTTGGAGACACCAAGTGCTAATGAATGTGAATCTAGTTTATGTTAAATCATTCAGACTCCAAGACTTTACCTTTCATTCAAGCCAGTTGAGGTTGGGTTTTCTTTCACTTGCAACTAAAAATCTAACGATAATATCTTTGTTTAAATAAGACTGATTAAAGTGACATCAGCAAATATGGCGTCCAGGAAACCCACAAGCCCATTGCTCCAGACAAACTGGCCTAAACTATGAGAATCAATTTTACTCGAAGTCTGGAAACTGATTAAAAGTGTACAGTGAACAGGCAAACATACAATAATTTTAAAAATCCTTAAATGTTGGTAAGAGAGCTTTGTAGCATTTGAACTTACTTTGGTCCCATCCCCTGCTTCTCAGCTCAGCAGCAGCCGTGAAGACTGCATTCCCACCATGGGTTCCCAGTGCCCGAGGGATTTATTCTCAAAGAACTGTGGTTGTCTCTTTCAACCCACCTGGTGACTCCTTGAAGGATCCCCTCAAAGAGTCTGCATTTAGTTTGCCCAACTCTATTAGGGCTGAGGATTGGGGGGAAAGGAGAAGTCTGTTGAAAACATTTAAAGGCAAATGTATTCACCTCCAATGCATGGGGCAAGGAATGGTAGTTTGGTTCAAACAATATACAAACCAAGAGCTTGGGAGAAAAGGCTGGGGAATGAAATGGTGGTGGATTAGGGGCTTTGAAAAACTCTCACATACTCCCAGGAACTGAGAAGTCCACGCACTTGCCCAGGGCAATACACATTTAGAAAAGACCTGTAAGGCCCTAAGCTCTCATCTCTAGCCGACTCTGCACAAACAGGAAGAGAAGGCCAAGATAAAGTTGTAACAGCCTGACTGAGTGTGAAGGCATTCTGGAATTGGGTAGTGGTGATGTCTAATTGCACAATGTACTAAATGTACTAAAAGTCAGTGAACTGTACACTTTAAAATGATGAATTTTACGTTAAGTGAGTTTTATCTCAATTATAAAAGAGAAATTTCAGGAGGCTTTGGAAAAAGAAGAGAGGAAGAAAAGAAAAAGAGTCTGAAGAGAGGAAAAACTAGCAGACAACCCAGCACCTTAGACGAACTGCCTAGAAAAAAAAATCTCTGGCTTGTACTGGGGACCCTTCCTCCCTACAGTCTCCACCCCCAGGTAATACATTTGAAGAATGTCTTTAGTATTTCGAGTGAGTTATGTGTTATGTAATATCTAAATAAAACTAAAAAATCATAAATAGCAATATCTAGGCAAAAAAAAAGACTGATTAAAATCAAGAAAAAATAACAATTCAATATTATCTTCAAACATTTCCTTTGGTTTTTGTTTTTTTTTTTTAGCTTTATTGAGGTACAACTGACAAAATTTTAAGATATTTAAAATGTACACCATAATGGTTTGATATATGTATCCATTGTGAAAGGATTCTTCCCATTGAGTTAATTCACATGTCCATCACATCAGATATATATAGGTATAAGTTCTACTCCCTTAGCTAATTTCATTTATATAATAGTGTTATTGACTAGAGTTACCTCAAATATTTTCTTTTGAAAACAACTTGCAAATAAACCTACTAAGAACACAAAATTGAACAGTTTATGTATTAAATACTTACTGAGTACAGTGATAGCCTCGAACTTCAGGCTTTGGCTGGTGTTTCTTTAGATGCTTGCTTAGTCCAGAGCCCCTGTGAAAAGACTTTCCACAAACTGAGCAAAGGTACTTGGACTCACCTATAAAAAATAAAAAACACATCACAAATCCAACAATCAGGTGCTCTTCCAAAAGAATACTTTATGTCCTACTTCAGAAGCTATTTTATCAAGGGGTCACAGAGCTATTACATTTGGCAGTCATCCTCTCAGAAGAACAACAAACCAGGTCAAAATCTCTATTTCCTCTCAACTACAGTACTAGCAAGATTACCACTACCCAAAGAACGTCCTGCGCTTGCATAATCATCTGGATTGTAATAGTACAGAGTTGAATACAAGTTCTAGAGCTGCCATCTACCCTTCACCAGCCATTTCCACATAACTGCCTTAAGCATTGGAAAATAATTACCTACAGACTAAAAATTCTAATAAAATTATAAGCCCTACCCCATGTTGACAGTTACATCTGCCTATTAATTTTTTAAAGATTTTTTATTTATTTGAGAGAGAATGAGGTGGGGTGGTGGAGAGGGAGAAGCAAGCTCCTCACTAAGCAGGGAGGCTGATGTGGGACTCGATCCCAGGACACTGGGATCATGACCTGAGCTGAAGGCAGACACTTAACCAAATGGACCACCCAGGGGCTCCATTAACTTTTTTTTTTTTAAGATTTTATTTATTTATTTGACAGAGAGAGACACAGTGAGAGAGGGACACAAGCAGGGGGAGTGGGAAAGGGAGAAGCAGGCTTCCCACGGAGCAGGGAGCCCGCTGTGGAACACGATCCCAGGGTCCTGAGCCAAAGGCAGAGGCTTAACGACTGAGCCACCCAGGCACCCCATTTTGTTTTTTAAGATTTTATTTATTTATTTGACAGACAGACAGAGAGAGAGCACAAGCAGGCAGAGAGGTAGGCAGAGGGGGAGGGAGAAGCATGTTTCCCGCGGAGCAGGGAGCCCAATGCGGGACTCAATTCCAGGACCCTAGGATCATGACCTAAGCCAAAGGCAGACGCTTAATGAATGAGCCACCCAGGCGACCCGATTAACTTTTTAAAAGCATGACCATTTCTTTAAGTGCCTGGATCTAAATATTGCATAATTTAATACTCAGTACACTTTTTTCTACACTGAGGTAAACAATGATTATTTTTACACCAATAAGATAGCTCCAAAATTAAAGAACACTTTTTAGCCTTACTTTCATTAATAAAAAACTGCACACTGTATATCAATATAATTTCTAAAATAATTATAGCATAATCAATATAACAGTAACTTAAGAGTATATAATGTGTAACTTTGTCAATACAAACTTCTCATTACCTGTGTGAATACTCATATGTTCTTGAAGACTCCGTTTGGTAACAAATGACTTAACACATAGTTCACATTGGAACTGCTTTTGTGATTGATGGAGACTCTGGTGTAATTTTAGGCCATGCTTATAGATGAAAGTCTTTCCACAGACCTGCGACAGCACAGGTGTTTAAACCGGTAAAACAGAAAAGAGAAATCAGGGCTGTTTCTGAAGAACGAGGACAGAAAGAGTGTATGCCATTTTAAAGAAAAATATCTATAAACAAAATGACAAACTGAAAGTTGAAACAAGTGTCAAGGATGTTAGCTGGCTGGTCATCTTCTGACTCAGTACTTAACAAATACTACTACTTTTCTTAGATCCAGGTGATCACTGAAGGAGCTCAAAGCAGTACAACAGACCCTCACACTGTCCTTGTGAGACATGTACCTTCTATATTAAAAGAGACATGAGAGCTTAATCACAAGAAAATATACTAATTTCTTGCTACACCAACTAGAACAGTGCTTCTCAAACTCTGATGAAGAACCAGGGTTTCATTTTTTTTTTTTTATTTCCCCAATCCATTTTTTGTTAAATATGATAACAATGTCACAACGTCAACTGCCATGACAGTTTCAAAATGTATACTCTCAGTTTCTGTACTTATCTTCCATGGACCATACACATTTTGAGTAGTGCCACATGAAAAGACCAGAGGCCCAGTTAATACTTATACATAAAACACAGCTGACCGTGTGCTGGCAACTACTGACGCTGGATAAAGGGTACATGGGGTTCTATTCTATTCTCTCATAACAAAAAGCAAAAAAAAAAAAAAAGAGAGAATCATTAAAAATCTCATTGGTGAAAAAATGGGTCATGCTTATATGCAAGGCTACAGGGGCTACTAGAAAATTGTCACTGTTCCAAATAGCCCTAATCTGGCTCATCACAGGATTCTTTACCTAGAAGTTTTATTTCGGCATTTAGATAGTCTCAGTCCTCAGCTCTAGAAAACACACAGCGTAGGCAGTATTTTTGCTAAGCAGATTTGTTTAAACCATGGGTTCCTTTCCAGTCCAGATTGGTCCTGCTGAAGGTTAGAGGGATGAATGGGATAATGAACTGGTTATTCTCACCCAGTACATCCTCTGAATCCTAGTAAGTTTCATGAACATCCTAACAGATTCATTTCAAATTACAACAAATTAAATAGCAAATGAAAGAACACAATTGGGAATCGCCCTTTAATCCAGGCAACAAACTGAAAGTCCTAGAATTCTCTGTGACATTTTACAGGAGTGAGGGTGACTCCAGAATCAACCAGTTTCATCAGTAGTTAAGTACAAACCCTCTTTATATAATAAAATAAACTTCACGGCTTTACCTGGCACGCATGTGGCTTTACACCTGTATGCTTTAACATGTGTATTCGGAGAGAGTATAATTTAGGTAATGTCCTTCCACATATGGAACATATAAATTCTCGTTTGGTTCTCCCCTTCTCAGACGATGTTCCCGACGTCTCATTGGCCGCAGAACTGGAAGAGGATGAAGTGGGTGCGTCTTTCCTGGTGTGTCGGATAAGATGTGCGCGCAAGGAGGCACTGTACTGAAACTGTTTTTTACACAACTACAAAAAAGTAAATAAAATTCTGTCTAAATGTAATTCCATAACAAATGTTAAATGAAACTTGACTATTTCAATTTCCCATTTCGTTACAATTATATAAATCAATAAACACACACATTATATAAGAGACAATATGCTACGTATCAGATTATAAGGATGACACGGGTCAAGACCCAGCCCCTACTCTGGAGAGGTTGATAATCTAACCACAGAGGGAGTCATCAAAGCAGTGAAGAAAGGCATCAATGCGGAGACTAGGTCTGTCTAGAAGGAACGGTAGGACACAGATACAGAAGAATGCTATCATCATATGACTACTAAAGTTGTCAGGTGGAGCAAAACTAAGGGTTAGAGAAAGTTAGAAAGATAAAACTGTGATGGTCCTTAAAATTCTTTTGGTCTACTACTTCTGCCACTTTTTTTTTACTCTCTCATGATGCTTATCTTGGTAACTCTAAGTAACATGAATAATGGATGAGGATTCTCTTCCTTCACCCCTCCGCTCCCTCCACATATGCAGACCCTTCGTGTTACCTTACTTTCTCAATATAGCTCAGTCCCAGTTTTGACCAATTGCTGTGTTCACATTTTTCCAGCGATGTAGTTGTTATTACAGCTGGGTCACATAGTACACTATGATTCCCTTTCCCTCCTTTTTCTGTTTTATTTCTCTTTATACTTAGTGCTAATTCAATACCAAACCCTTCCTTCAATTGTCTACTGAGAGGAGACTGAAAGACATCACCTTAAAGAGATCTCTGTCAAAGAATTTTGTCCTGTTCCAACCTGGACTGGTTGTTTCCTATGCTTGGACTCTGTAGAACTGGAACCCGTGTTTCCCAGGTCTTGCTGATTTTAGTGGAACACCTCTGCCAATAAGCTTCCCAAGAAAGGGAGTTTGGGAGGTAAAACTTTTAGACCTTGCATGTCTAAAAGTGTTCTTATTCTACCATCACAAATAACTGATAGTTTGGCTATAGATTTTAAGGTGGAAATCACTTCCCTTTAGAATTTTAAAGACCTTGTGTCTTTCCTTCTCTTCTAGTTTCCATTGTTGCTGCTGAAAAGCCTGAAGCCATTCTGACCTTTATCCTTTCTATGAGTCTATCTTTTTTCTCTATCGTTATTCATAAGATTTTTTTCTTTGTCCCTTGATTTATTTATTTATTTATTTTTAAAGATTTTATTTATTTATTCATGAGAGACAGAGGGAGAGAGAGAGAGAGAGAGAGAGAGAGAGAGAGAGAGAGAGAGAGAGAAGCAGAGGGAGAAGCAGGCTCCCAAGGAGCAGGGAGCCCAATGCGGGACTCGATCCCAGGACCCTGGGATCATGACCTGAGCTGAAGGCAGATGCTTAATGACTGAGCCACCCAGGCGCCCTGTCCCTTGATTTAAAGATTTCATAATTTATCTTGATATACATTTACTTATGGGTGATGTGGTTGTAGGCATTCAACGTGTCCCTTTTCACAAGGAAAATTAAGTTCTGATATTTTTCTTTATTCCACAAATGATTTCCTTCTCATGTTCCCCTTGGTGTTATTTGGATATTAGACATCCTATACCAATTCTCTAAATTTCTTCACTCTCATTTTCTAACTTGTCTTTTGCATTATTTTCTGAGACATTTAGTCTATTTCCCAATTTTTCTGAGATTTTTATATTTGTGGATCCTCAAAGTTGCTTTTTTCTTGAAATATTTATCCTGAGTCTGATCATCCCTGACATCTACAGGTATTTCAGTATGTTACAAAACTGACTGGAATGATGTAATATATGATGATTAACATAACAATAAAAAATTAAAAAAAAACTGACTGGAGTTTCTGTATAAGTGGGGTGGGTGCAGGGGAAGCTGTCAACCACAGGCTTTTGTCAGCACTGTCTCCAAGTCCTTTGTTATTGGGCTTCGGATTTCTCATCTCTGAGAAACCTTTCTGCTTTTGGGTTAAGGGTCTGACTGCTAATATTCTGGGACTTGAGTAGGTAAAGAGAACTTGAAAGATTTCAACATTCAGTATGAAAGGTTTTAGTTTCCCTTTTTTTGGGTATAGTACATTCACCCTCACTGTACACAGTGTTCCCCAGAGCAGTCATGGTTTTATTGCTTTCAGAAAGTAGAAGAGAAGGTGGTGGTGATTTAACTGCTTCTTAAAAACTTTCTAAAGAGATTCCTTTCAAAGTAGCAAGTAACACTAATTCCTGAGGCATTTGGTACTTCTGCAATACAAAGTGGACAGATTCTTACCTTTCTCCACTGAAAGCCTGGGAATGAGCCCTTTCAAATCTGCTAAATCAGTTATTCCCTCTATTTATCAGGGGCCAGAATGTAGTTGCTAAGGTTTCCTCCCCATTCTCTTTACCCTTCTATGAGTTTATATTTTTCAATTTTTAAAGTTTATTTATTTTTAAGTAATCTCTACCCTCAATGTGGGGCTCAAACTCACGACCCTCAAGAGTCGCATGCTCTACCGACTGAGACTAACAGGTGCCCCTGAGCTTTTATTTTTTAAATGATAATTTCAGTCTTGTCTTACTAGGGTACTATCAGGAAGAAGCAAAGATAGATCACTGTTTTTTGTGGGGTTTTGGTGGGGAGGGGGAGCTAAGAAATGACACAGGCAAATCAGAAGATGACTCTTACATAGCAAAATAAGGGAGACAGAGAAACACTGAGAGAATACAAGCAGAATAACAATGAAACAGTAAACTGGATTCTGTTTATCATGAAGTTAGAGCCATCTTCAATTAGCTTTCCAATTACTTACCGGACATTTGTAATCTCTAGCTCTTTCATGTTTCAGTGTGTGCATTATAAGGGCATATCGTCTCTGAAAAACCATTCCACATTCCCCACATTTATGGGAGGCTGCTTCTTCAGTATTCTCTTTAGTATCCCTTTTTGGCTGTTTCATCTTTTTCCCTCTTTGAACTAATTTCTGGGCTACCTAATTAAGGGACAGAAAACACAATCTAAGTAAATATTTTAATTAAAAAAAAGATTTATTTACTTGAGAGAGAGAGAGAGTGCAAGCGAGAGCACAAGCAGGGGAGAGGCGCAGAGGGAGAGGGAGAAGCATACTCCCCACTGAGCAGGGAGCCTGATGCAGGACTCGATCCCAGGACCCTGGGACCAAGACCTGAGCCAAAGGCAGATGCTTAACCAACTGAGCCACCCATGCATCCCAACTTATTTTAATTTTTAAAGTCATGAATCATGTTATTTCAAATTAATATTATCTTATTAATATTGGTATTTAAAACATTAAGTTGCTTTCCTGCACCTACTGCCCTTCCTCCCAAAGTAATTTTCATGATAGGTATATTAAGTTTATGAACAGAATGCTTTTGACTTAAAGCTAACACCACAAAGGTCACCTCTTCATCGTACCTGCTGAACTGCTGACTTGGGAATGGCCTTCCGTTTTTGCAGCTTTTTCTCCATTCCTTTGTGCAGTCGGATATACCCCCCTTCATTAACAGAACGCTGCCGAAGCCTGCTTCTGTAAGTTTCATCATCAGGGCCAAGGTCTGTCTTTGTTGTCAGTGCAACTAGATTTTCCTGATCTTTTAAAGACTGGCCAAGGTTCTGCATTTGCTCTGGAATGTCTTCAGCACAGATATCTTCAGTTGATGTGTCATTTCCCATACCACTGTTTTCTGGAGAGCTACTGATTACATTCTCTTTTGAAAGTTTGGTATGAATACTAGAAACCGTGCTATCTTCTCTGCTGTTTAAAGTTTCTAGTTCTGTCTCATCATTTTTTGTTATTAAATCCACAGACTCCATTTCAGGATGGGAACCAGTTACACTGCCTGCAGGTGACAGAGCGGCTTGAGCCTCTGAAGAAACCTGGGGTTCAGGGTGTTGTCCTTGCTCTCCATTCTGCTCAGCTTCGGGCAATTCTCCATTCACCAACAGTACAATTTCACAATCCCCAAGTTCAGTAGATAATGTGGTTCCCTCGCTGCTAGCCACAGGAGGTGCCGTACCTCCATTCTGTTCTGGTAAGTCCTGGGTAGATGCAACTGTTTGGACCTCACCCTTCTTATACACTGTTAGCTGCTTTTCTTCCATTAGTTTATGTACACTTTCACAGATTTCTAAAACTTCTGACATGAAAAGATGGCGAGCCAAGATGGCTACATCAGCCATGCTACAGAAGTCAAAACTTAGCACAGAAGTATAGGCAAATTCCAATAAAGGAAGGAAGCTTGCCTTACAAAAACCTACATGGAACAAAAAAAAAAGGGGGGGAGGGGTACAAAAAAGTTAAATAACTACTAAAACACCTTAGAAAAACAATTAATACATGATTACGACAATATAAAATAAAATACAAAGGCAAAAAGGCAAATATGACCATTTATTCTGCAATTAAACACTCTGGACTTGTTTTGTGTTCTGGTTGCTTAATAAGCCTTGACTAACTCACTTCTATGAGCCGAGTCTCTCAATACCTAAAATAGAAAATAATATCAGACTTACTACCTCAAAGAGTTGTTGTAAGGCAGTCATTTTCAAACTGTACTCCTTAGAACCCCGGGGGTTCCTCAAATTCCCCTCAAGAAACAGCTGCTGGAGAATGGAGGGTAAAAAAAGAGAGGGAGGCAGGTGAGTAGGCAGGGTTCAACCAACCTGTCCCCTAACCTCACTTCTGTAAGTATAACTGTATATTTTAATAAAAGAAGTCCATATAAAAATATGATTGTGAACAAAGGGCTGTACTACTGAAAATTTAAGAACAAGATCTAACACGGGGTCAGCAAAATTTTTCTGTAAAGAATCAGATAATAATTACTGCAGGCCATAAGGTGTCTGTTTTAACTACTCAACTCTGCCACTGTAGCTGAAAAGAGGGGCCAAAGATAATACATACACAAATGAGCATGGCTGTGTTCCAGTATCACTTTATTTACAAAATGTGAGAGAAGGGAGGATTGCCCCTTTGGGCTACAGTTTGCCCATTCCTGGTCTAAGGAAGAAAAGAATTACTATACACAGGAGGTATTATATTCTTATTTTATGTGAGAAAATAAAAGCAGTTTATCTGTAAGTTCTCAATACTTCACTTTCAAAAGCCATTAATATTCTTGATTCAAAAATCAGAAAATAAAACAGTGATA